AGCAATTAAGAGACTGAGTCAATTTACTAACAGACATCAGATTAAAGGGAAACTTGGGAACATATAAAACTGAGGAGAGGGATAATGAATCAGTGTCAACATTACCAACACCACATATGGCTGATGTAGAGCCATTGGCAAGAGTAACAGATTGGGAAGTGGAGGACGGAGAAATGGATGAAAACACACTTGGAGTTCCAGTTATATGATCGGAAGCTCCAGAATCTATAATCCAACGGGAAGATGTGGATGCCAGACAAGTCGTACATGTGTGTGCAAGGGTAGTTGTGTTCTATTGAGATGTACCCTGAATGAACCGCTCATACTCATTCCGTGAAATACTCACCATCTCCTTTCTGGAAGTATCCGTAGATATAGTGGGGATCTAATCAATGACTTGAGATTCTTGTCTTGAGCTACCACCATTTACAGCTACACGATTCGCCCAGGTTGAAGGTGGGCCATGGAGATCGTAGAAAAAGTTGATTGTATGTCTCTCTGTACCACAATGAGTACACCTTCTCTGAGTATTACCATGTTCCCTACCACGGGCTCCCCCTGAGTCTCGTCCTCTAACACGACCACCACCATGATTATACATTCCACCACCACCACGACCATACATGGGTCCACCACCACTACCACGACCATGCTGACCTCCTCTACCACCACGAATACGAGCAAACACTTCCTCAAGAGAGGGAAGAGCAGATCCACCGAATATCTGTGCCCTTACGGGTTCATACTCGGATTTCATCCCTACTAAAAATCTGGTCACATCCAACTGCTCTCTCTGTTGTTGCTGAATTTTGACATCTGGTGTAAGAGGATGATAAACATTCAACTCATTTCGTAAATTTCTCATACTGGCATAATAGTCTTCAAGACTCTGATTCCCTTGTTGCAGATTGAAGTACTCTAGGTACAGTTGATAAACCCTAGTAGTGTTATCTTGTCCAGAATATAGTTTCCTTGCATGATCCTAGACTTCCTTGGTTGTATCTAAAAACATGAAGTTCACACTAAGTTTGGACTCCATGCTGTTCCATAGCCAAGTCATAGTTTGAGCATCCTCCTGCTCCCATTCATCATATCCCGGAGAATCAATTGAGGGTTTATCTTCCCTCACATGTTTCACTTTCTTTTTGGCTTTCGTGTAAACTTCAACAGACTTAGCCCAAGGGACATAATTCTCACCATTCAGTTTTATAGAGGTCATCTGCACATTCAGATAATCAGAAGGCACCATCACTCTTGATTTGTATTCACTGCTTTCTCCCATGACTGCACAAAAAACAGTGGGAGGTTGTACCACTAAATTGTTACTTTACTGCCCTAACAAATCACCACACTCCACACGAATAACTGAACACCACTAGGGTTCCTAGTACTAGGTTTCAGTAGCAACACTCACAACTATTCACCACTGTTTCAGCAATAATATTCACAACTGTTCACCACTTTTAGCAACAGCACTACTGTTGCCGTTTACTGTCAGCACTAGAAACCCTCACAACACACCTCATGAATAATATTTTCAGTTCTGCAACATATAAAAGAAACTTGCTACATACCACAACTTAGTTCGAAGATCATGTACCTATCGAGTAGAGGGTACCAAGTATGCACTGTCACCATCACAAAACCAGCCCTCTTCGAATCACGAGTAGAGGGTTTTCTACCAACCACACAAAACCACAACGACTGCACTCATTGGAGGCATGGAAGCCCCCAAAAGGAGAAAACGACCAGTCCTTTTCTTCCTTTCTGGAAAACTCTCTAAATATCAAAGAGAATTCTGCAAAACCCTAGAGAGGAATGCGCAGAACAGAGAGAAATGGAGACAACTGATCTGAACTGATTATCGTGGCTATGATACCATGATAAAACTCAGATTAGATGTTCGTATATGTTCAGTTCAGAAGAAAGAGAAGGAAAAGAGAGAGAGAAGGAGGAGAAAGAGAAGAAAAAGAATCAACACTGGTGATTTACTCCAAAAGAAGAGACCCAATACTTGTTTGTCACCTCAGTGGTGTGTTCTTTGTAAAGCGGATGGGGAGACTGGTTTTCACCTACTGGTGTCTTGCCATTTTGCGAGATTAATTTGGGAATGGGCTTTGTCCCTTTTTGGTCGCAG